TTGGTATGTCAATTTGATGTGTAAAGTTTGGTATGTCAATTTGATGTGTAAAGTTTGGTATGTCAATTTGATGTGTAAAGATGGTATGTCAATAGTTTGGCATGTCAATTTGAGTGTAAAGTTTGGTATGTCAATTTGATGTGTCAGTTTGGCATGTCAATTTGATGTGTAAAGTTTGGTATGTCAATTTGATGTGTAAAGATGGTATGTCAATTTGAGTGTAAAGTTTGGCATGTCAATTTGAGTGTAAAGTTTGGTATGTCAATTTGATGTGTAAAGTTTGGTATGTCAATTTGATGTGTAAAGTTTGGTATGTCAATTTGATGTGTAAAGATGGTATGTCAATTTGAGTGTAAAGTTTGGTATGTCAATTTGATGTGTAAAGTTGGGTTTGTCAATTTGATGTGTAGAGTTTGGTATGTCAATTTGAGTGTAAAGTTTGGTATGTCAATTTGATGTCTAAAGTTTGGTATGTCAATTTGATGTCTAATGTTTTTGGAATGCCAATATGATATGTAAAGATGGTATGTCAATTTGAGTGTAAAGTTTGGTATGTCAATTTGATGCGTAAAGTTTAGTATGCTAATATGATATGTAAAGTTGGTATGTCAATTTGATATGTATAGTTTGGTATGTCAATTTGAGTGTAAAGTTTGGTTTGTCAATTTGATGTGTAAAGTTTGGTATGTCAATTTGATGTTTAAATTTTGGCATGTCAATTTGATGCGTAAAGTTTAGTACGCTAATATGATATGTAAAGTTTGGTATGTCAATTTGATGTGTAAAGTTTGGCATGTCAATTTGATATGTAACGTTTGGTATGTCAATTTGATGTGTAAAGTTTGGCATGTCAATTTGATGTGTAAAGTTTGGTATGTCAATTTGATGTGTAACGTTTGGTATGTCAATTTGATGTGTAACGTTTGGTATGTCAATTTGATGTGTAACGTTTGGCATGTCAATTTGATGTGTAACGTTTGGTATGTCAATTTGATGTGTAACGTTTGGTATGTCAATCGAGAGTCATTTTATTTGAGTTTTACGTCCTACACGACTGTTCCATATTGGAATAATGAAGACAGGCAACGTCATGCAGTGTACAATGAGACAAATCTTGGCATGACAGCGCAATGAGCATTCTCTTTTTGCCAACCATGCAATCGAATTAAAAATTCGACTTAATTCATTTGCCAGGGATGAGTTTAAAAAGTGCCGATGAACTACAAAATCTATCAATTACAAAACCTGCTTTGTTTTCAAATTTGCCAACATAAATTACTCTAACGTAAAATTCCAACTGTTTTATCGGCATATCGCTCTGTTTTCAGCCAAATTTTTAAGTGGAAAGTGGAGTTTTTAGTAGTTTGTAGTAAATTCAACAGACTTCAAGAGTATAGTTGTACGAAGTTCCCATCGCACATTGAAGACGTAACAGAATTTTGACACTGAATAGCGTGTCGGTCTTGATTACTCCAATCAGGTGCAGAAATTGTGACGTAGATAATGCCGCTGCCATAGAATAATTTTCCAATTGCACACTGCACGACGTTGCCCATTTTCATTGGCCAATCAGGTGCATAAAAGTGCGATTTTACTTCATTTCTTCAATAGAGTGATATCGGGTGTTTCCCTGTTAATGAATCAGGCCGAGTGTCATGGAACAGATCGGTCAATACACTGCGACACTGTTAGTTATGGAATCAAACGGCCTATGGTGAAAGTAACTCTAGCGCTCTATATGTCGCAAATACACGTATTAGTCATTTACAGAAGGATGTGCAAGAGTCATGCTGGCTGGTTTGAGCGGTATCCATATTAGTTTGGACAAATTAACTGTAATATGTGGAACAGGTTCTAATTTTCAACATTTGAATCATAAGAAATAAGAAAGATATTTTAAAGATTAAAGTTGGGAATGTTTTTTTTTCTGAAGAGTGACATATGTATTTGTATTTTCGCTCCAGTGAGGTTCAATCAGGGTCAAACTGTAATATCGAGATGCCCTGACATATGGTAGAACATGTACACTAAGAACTGTAGAACCTGTTATCGGCCTCTTGACAAGATTTCGAAATTTTCTGTTGTAAGAGTGGAAACTGGGTTGAAAATTGGACCCCTAAAGCCTTGACGCGACCCAACCTACTAAATAGGTGCACAATGGGCTTCACCAATTGTTATAAACGGTACGTATTCACCAAAACTCACCAATGGGCATCACTAATGGGTAATCACCAGATGCTTTTACCGATGGGCTTCACCACTGGACATCACCAATAGGCTCACCCATGGGGTACTCACCGATGGGGTATTCACCGAAGGGCCCTACCAATGGTCTTCACCAATGGGAATTCACTAATGGACATCACCAATGAGTTGTCACCACTGGGTACTCACCGATGGGGTACTCACCAATTGAAAGCCACCAATCAATGGGAATCATCTATAGGCTCATCAATGGGCTTCAACTGATTGCCCTTACTATTGAGTACTCACCAAATGTGTTCACCAATGGGAACTCACCAATGGGAACTTACCAATGGGAACTTACCAATGGGAACTTACCAATGGGAACTTACCAATGGGAACTTACCAATGGGAACTCAACAATGGGAACTTAACAATGGGAACTTACCAATGGGAACATACCAATGGGAACTTACCAATGGGAACTCACTAATGGGAACTTAACAATGGAAACTCACCAATGGGAACTTAACAATGGAAACTCACCAATGGGAACTTAACAATGGGAACTTAACAATGGGAACTCACCATTGGGAACTTAACAATGGAAACTCACCAATGGGAACTTAACAATGGAAACTCACCAATGGGAACTTACCAATGGGAACTTAACAATGGAAACTTACCAATGGGAACTTAATAATGGGAACTTAACAGTGGGAACTTAACAATGGGAACTTACCAATGGGAACTTAACAATGGGAACTTAACAATGGGAACTTAACAATGGAAACTCACCAATGGGAACTTAATAATGGGAACTTAACAATGGGAACTTAACAATGGGAACTTACCAATGGGAACTAACGATGGATTCTCAAAAATACGAGTTAGTAACAACGTGTGAAACGTAGCTAAGGGTTTTAGATTGCTAAGAAACCAAAACATATAATGATAGAGTTTCGCTTTACTGTAATGATTTTACCAAATGACAAGGTTGTAGAGTTAATATATGTTCAACTGAGAAGCTGCCACACACCTAATCTCGTTGGAGCAATATGAACTCGACAGAAGCGTGAGAGAAAAGTACGCTTCACTAACTCTCTGAAAATAATAGCTTTACCATTCTTAACTAGTTTTAAAGGTACATAACCGTCTAAATTTTTAATTTACTATTTGATAGAACTATAACCCATGGCAATCCTGGTTTCTTTCTTATTATATTTGACACACCGTTTCTATAATTTACACTGTCAAAACAGTTAGATAGAGCAGTTTATATGGTATACTACTCCCGAGTTTTATTGTACACAACGTTTCAACAATCTACATTGTCATTATTAGATTATGTTAAATAACGACGTTTCGTCAATTTACATTATCATTATTAGTATATTTACATTGTCATCATCAGTTTATATGGTATGGTACTCCTGAGTTTTATTGTAGACAACGTTTCAACAATTTACATTGTCATCATCAGTTTATATGGTATGCTACTCCTGAGTTTTATTGTAGACAACTTTTCAACAATTTACATTGTCATTATTAGATTATGGTAAATAACGACGTTTCGTCAATTTACATTATCATTATTAGTATATTTACATTGTCATCATCAGTTTATATGGTATACTACTCCTGAGTTTTATTGTACACAACGTTTCAACAATTTACATTGTCATCATCAGTTTATACGATATACTACTCCTGAGTTTTATTGTAGACAACGTTTCAACAATTTACATTGTCATCATCAGTTTATACGATATACTACTCCTGAGTTTTATTGTACACAATGTTTCAACAATTTACATTGTCATCATCAGTTTATATGGTATGCTACTCCTGAGTTTTATTGTAGACAACGTTTCAACAATTTACATTATCATTATTAGTTTATGGTAAATAACGACGTTTCGTCAATTTACATTGTCATTATTAGTTTATGGTAAATAACGACGTTTCGTCAATTTACATTATCATTATTAGTTTATTGTAAATAACGACGTTTCGTCAATTTACATTATCATTATTAGTTAATGGTAAATAACGACGTTTCGTCAATTTACATTATCATTATTAGTTTATTGTAAATAACGACGTTTCGTCAATTTACATCATAATACGTTTCTACAATTTACATTGCCATTATTAGTTTATGGTAAATAACGACGTTTCGTCAATTTACATCATAATACGTTTCTACAATTTACATTGTCATTATTAGTTTATGGTAAGTAACGACGTTTCGTCAATTTACATCATCGTTATTCTTTGAATGACAACCAATATACTGAGAATTGCAAGAATTAACCCCTTTAAAGAATAGCATTATATAGACATCAGTGCAGTGACAAGGAAATGCCGATTTGACATGTTTATAGAGACGAATAAATAACATGAATATCATCAATAAACATTATGTTATTAGTTATATTTCTATTAACATGACACCAGTAATTACTATATATCTTGTCTTATTGTCACAAACAGAAATATACATCAATTGAAGTTTTACGTCCTTATGTTCTGTACTGTATTGGGTTATTCTCAGTGAGTTAGACGCTTGCTCGCTAACTTGAAGGTCCAGGGTTCAATCCCGGCATTGGTCGAGATAATACCTTCGGATTTTTCAACCCGGTTTCCCCCTGTCAGTGATGCAGGTAAGAGGGGCTAACATGGAAAAAGCGTCTTGTTGTTCGGATGGGACAATAAACCGAGGCCCTGTGTGCTACAGGCTGTGCATGTTAAAGATCCCTCGACAGTTGGAAATCGAAAAAGAGCAGGCTAATGCCGCTGTCCTGGCAAAATTTCCCTCATGGCACCCTGCATGGCGTTGCCCGTCTTCATTAGCCCACAAGGTGCAGAAAAGTAGGACGTAAAACTCCATTCATTTCATTTCATTTTTATTTGGTTAATGGGTTAAAGATATATATGGTAAAGAGAATTTTAAAGGGAACGCTTCTTGCAATTTACAAATTTAAAAACTATTGTCGGAATAAAATTACGAGAATATATGTCTACCGGAAACGAAAGCAATCTTAGCTTTCGGATATTTGTCGTGATTCCATCGAAATTTGACGTAATGTTTATAATTACACGAATCACAGGCATCTGAAGGAAAGTTGGAATGATACAAATAGAAGCCATTATTGGCCCCGATACACAGGCCCGTAACAAGAGATGGGTGGGGTGAGGCGCAGGTACTTCAATTGATGCTGAAATCAGACTCTATCAGCTATTGTCTCCAAGCAAATGCGGCCGCCTCCTTTGTACGGGCCTACCGATACGGTTAAGAAAGAATGCCTCTTTACAATCCCTTTACAATTTTTTTTTATTCCGAACCACTTTTCAGTTTATGAGTGTCGATCTTGATTGACCTATTCACGTCGTTTGAAGGTACATGTACTTGAAGATTTCCCAAAAGACGGATATTGTCATTATCTGTGTCAACGACCGAGTAAAGTGGTTAGATGAGAAGACCTGAATGACTCGACCTTATAAAAGAGTAACTGTTTGTCAATCATCTGGCCACGTATTCTCCAAACGATCATAGCACTAGGATGTCCTAGAATCAATGTTAGAAGATAAGAACCTAGGATATACTAGAATCAATGTTAGAAGATAAGAACCTAGGATATCCTAGAATCAATGTTAGAAGATAAGAATCTATGATATCCTAGAATCAATGTTAGAAGATAAGAATCTATGATATCCTAGAATCAATGTTAGAAGATAAGAACCTAGGATATCCTAGAATCAATGTTAGAAGATAAGAACCTAGGATATCCTAGAATCAATGTTAGAAGATAAGAATCTAGGATATCCTAGAATCAATGTTAGAAGATAAGAATCTAGGATATCCTAGAATCAATGTTAGAAGATAAGAACCTAGGATATCCTAGAATCAATGTTAGAAGATAAGAACCTAGGATATCCTAGAATCA